AGAAAGCTAACTGCTTAGGGGCGCCTGGGTGGCTTAGTCGGTTAAACGTCCGACTTTCGCTTGGGTCATGATCTCGCGGTTCGTGGGTTCGAGCCCCACGTAGGGCTCTGTGCTGACTGCCAGCTCAGGGTCTGGAGCCTGTTTCAGTCTGTGACTCCCTCTCTCTCTGACCCTCCCCTGCTCACGCTGTCTCTCTCTCTCTCCTAGAAATAAATAAAAACATTAAAAAAAAAAAAAAAAGAAAGCTAACTGCTTAAATGTGATCCAGTAACACATTCTACTCCTATTTCATAACTTTTGTTTAACTATACTGTAAAATTTTAGTTAATCTCTTTCTCCTACTATAATTTTCAGAGAGTTAGGTGAGAAGGATGTAAGATAGCAGGTATAGGTATGTATGTGTGTGCATGTGCGTGTACAACAGCATAATTTCTTTGACTTGTTTCTTGTCAGACCCTTTAATACATTTTAAAATTTTCGGTAGCATTAAAGAAAAGTTTAAGATTTTTTTTTTTTTTCACTTAAACAGCTCATGAGTTTAAAAACTCTAAAAAATGGGGCACCTGGGTGGCTCAGTCAGGTAGGTGTCCAACTTCAGCTCAGGTCATGATCTCACAGTTGGTGAGTTCCAGGCCTGAGTCTGGCTCTGAGCTGACAGCTCGGAGCCTGGAGCCTGCTTCAGATTCTTTGTCTCCCTCTCTCTCTGCCCCTCCCCTGCTTGTGCACACGTGCTCGCTCTCTCTCTCAAAAATAAATAAATAAACTTAAAAAAAAAAAAACAACAACAGCCTCTAAGAAACACAGAGATAGACACAGATCCTTAAGGGCAAGGACCACATTTTACTCATTTCTGTATTCCCAGCACCCAGCACAGGACCAGGCACAAAGTTAGTGTGAATCAATGTTTGTTGAATGAATATGCCCAAATGTGTCAACTGCTCTGGAATCAGAACATGTTAGAACAGAGGAGACCCTAAGCCCCAAGCAAAGCTTCTTTTTTCCTCTCTCTCTCCTTCTTTCTAGCCCAACCTATTCTGTCCTCCCCAGTTAAAGACAGAGAGAGACACCACATTGCCTTGGTGCTGGAATACTATTAAAAGGATTAATTTAGGGACCGGTGTTTGGACTGTCACATCCAATCACTACCCACAGATCTACAGCTTCCCAAATCAAGCTCATGCAAAGAGGAATCAATTGCAAGGACACAGAGGGTCTGAACAGGCATACTAATGGTCTCCTGAGGTGCCAGCGGCCAGCTCTGACACTCCCATAAATTATCTGCCTTTTGATTTTACCTGTAGCTCTGGGGCACAAGGCACAATTTTGAACATATCAAAGCAATCTCTTGTAACCCAAGGCTCCCCCAAGAATGTCCCCAAAGAGGGAGGGGCTAAAAACAATGACCCAAAGGGAATCTGCTTCCCTAGTCCAAGCAGTCATCAATTAAAACCCAACAGGACCAAGAGGATAAAGTGGAATCCAAATCATTCCTAGCACATCTGGACAAAGCATGCATCAGTCTACAGTTCTGCAATGACTACATATCTCTCACTCGAAGGAAGAGAAATCACAGTAATAAACTAACACAATTTCATCTGGAGGCAAATCTGCACTAGCTCTGACAGTACCTTATAGCATGACCTTGGGCAACACACTTAACCTTCATGGGCCTCAGTTTCCTCACATGGGTAGCAGGGACAGTAATAATGACCACCTGATTCATTCCCAGAGTGATGGTGAAAAGTAATAAAAAAACATTCAAGACACACTTTACAAAGATGTAGGGCCACAAGGGTGGAAACACTAATAAATGACCCTCACCAAATGGGAGAAATGACTGGTCACACTTTGGTGAATTTCTTTCAGGTAGCTGCTCATTCAATTCACTTCACTGATGGTACTGGGGCTAAGGTCTACCCTGAAGAAAGTTCTGATTTTCTGGACTCCTGATGTCTGAATATTTTCCATTATGAAGAGTGGCCCCTTGTATTAGTTATAACTTCCTCCTGTCTACTGGCTGCCACCACCAGTGGTTATGTTTCTATTATATGGCCTTAATGACAAATGTGAGGCCCCCAAACATACTACACGAAAGGCCAACTCACCCTATTGTGGAGCTTTTTAAAAAAATTATTAATTGTGTCAAATACTATTAGTGACAAGTCATTAAAACACTGTGCTAAGAACTTTACATACATTATCTCATTAAATCCTTTTTCAACCCTATTAAATCCCATTATCTGCATAGATAGGAAAGTAAAGCTCAGAGAGGTAAGTCACTTGCCCAAGGTCACCTAAACACCCTAATATAGGTTATGAGAAACCTACAGGCTTTCCTCCACCAATGCAAGTAGGCTTGCAGAAGGAGAAAGACAATTCATCAGACACTCAACAGATACTTTATTTGGCTCCTGTGCCTGGCATATACCATCATATCTGAACCAGGAGACAGTCCCCAAAACAGAAAAAGGTCATCAGTCTGCTACAAGCAAAGAAAGATTGACTAGGACATATAATAGAATGAGGCTAATTCCCGAGAAAGCTTAGGAAAATGGGTCCTTCTTTTTTTGTATAGTTCAAAAAGTTTAAAACAACCGACATTAAGCTATGAACCCTAAGACCAACATCCCGACCAGGGCTCCATTTATTCCCTACATCTTGGATTAGAAAAGAGTTCCCCAACCTTTTCGTTCATTCTACACCTATTTTCCCTTCCTACATCTTTTCTAGTCTGTAAAATAGGAGCTGTTATTGCCAACAAATTCTTTGGTTGACATGCTTTAAACTCTAGCTGATGGCCAGGAAATTAATAAAGAGAACCGGTATATACATTATGCAAAAATTTAGTTATCCTCAATTTTTAAGTGTCAAAATACTGCCTCAAAGGGGTAAATATAAAATGCTGCCCGTGTAACTATCAGAGGCCCCTTACTGTTCTCTGCCTTCAGTATCATCCCCTTCAGTCCATTATTTTTTTTTTTAAATATTTTTATTTTTATTTATTTCTAGGAGAGAGAGAGAGACAGCATGAGCAGGGGAGGGTCAGAGAGAGAGGGAGTCACAGACTGAAACAGGCTCCAGGCTCTGAGCTGGCAGTCAGCACAGAGCCCGACGCGGGGCTCGAACCCACGAACCGCGAGATCATGACCTAAGCGAAAGTCGGACGCTTAACCGACTAAGCCACCCAGGCGCCCCAATCAAGATTTTAAAAAGATGTAAAAATAACTGATCACATGATGATGTAAGTGATTCTAAATGAGAGGCACAGAGCCATGGGTCTTGTGAATCCTATAATTCTCTGGGGGCCAGGACTAGTCTACAACTTGACCACAACAGNAAACAGGCTCCAGGCTCTGAGCTGGCAGTCAGCACAGAGCCCGACGCGGGGCTCGAACCCACGAACCGCAAGATCATGACCCAAGCGAAAGTCGGACGCTTAACCGACTAAGCCACCCAGGCGCCCCACCTTTCAGTCCATTATTAACACTGAAATCAGAGCAAATGGTCTAAAACACAAATCTAATTATCAGTCCACAGTTTTAAAACTTTTTAATGGCTTCTTACTGTTCTTATGATAGTCTGATCCAGGTGTTGGCAAACTGTGTTCCATGGGCCAAATCCAGCTGCCACCTGTTTTTATAAAGGTTTACTGGAACAAAGCCATGCCCATTCATTTTCACACTATGGCTGTTTTCATACTGTAACAGCAGAGCTGATTGGAGTTGAAAAGTTGTGACAGAGGGGCGCCTGGGTGGCTCAGTCAGTTAGGCATCCGACTTTGGCTCAGGTCATGATCTCACAGTTGGTGGGTTCAAGCCCTGCGTCCGGCTCTGTGCTGACAGCCAGCTCAGAGACTGGAACCTGTTTCAGATTCTGTGTCTCCCTCTCTCTGACCCTCCCGAGATCATGCTGTGTGTCTCTCTCTCTCAGAAATAAATAAAACACTTAAAAAAAAAAAAAGTTGTGACAGAGACCCATGAAACTTAAATAGTTACTATCTGGTACTTTACAGAAAGGGCCTAGTCTTTTGCTGATTTAGTCTAACTTTTTCTTCACCCATCACCTAATCCTAAGAGCTTAAAAGGCCTTGGCTTCTGCTTACCTTTCCTGCTTCATTTCTCATCAAATTCTCCAACCCCATGCCCACTGAGTATGTTATGTTTTAATCACACTGAAATTCAGGTTCTCAAACCCAATGAAACTCTGATCTTCACACTTATCCCTCATGTCTTCATCTAATTCTAAATGAGGAGGTTCTTTCCTCTGAGAAGCCTTCCCTGAGCCTACGAGTCTGGGTTGAGGACCCTTCTGAATACGCCAAAAGCACCTAACCTTACCCTATTATAACACTCCTAGAGTGTATCAGAACTGCTTCTTTACTATCTCTCCCATGAATTTGTAAGCCCTGTGGCATCAGAGACAACAGCTGTCTTGTCACAATTCTAGGACCACCACAATTCTAGGACCTAGCAAAGTGCCTGGCCCTTCATGGTTGAACAAACAGCCTCTGAGATCCTGGATATGAATCATCAGAGTCTGTCTTTTTAGTAGGTCCTGATCCTTATAAAATGGATAGGCTGGGATTAATCATCCACCCAAGGATGACCCTCAACCCAAATCAAACCAAGATCCCAAAGGCCTTGGTCAAATGCATTATCAAAAGCCAAATGAATGTGTTCCTCTCTATTATCTTAAGCTGTGTATTTCTCAGGATGAAAGACTGTTCCAGCTGTATTCAAACTTTCTGAACCTAAAGTAGGCACTCATGCAATGCCCACAAAGAAATCATGACAGAACTTGAGACTCTGGATAGCCCACTCCAACTATCACCAGTTTATAGATTTTGGGTACATTTTAGTAGTCTTTGAGCACATGGCGTCTTATCAAAAAAAGCTACAGAAAAATACAATCTGCACAAACCACCATCCCCTCACCCTCCAAACCCAAATACTCATAGGAAAGAAGTAAAGCCAAACTTGACCATGCAACAGGATTCTCACCTCTCCTTACTTCGAAGATGCCAAGACTGCCAGCTGGGGATGCTGAAGGTTCTGTGAGAGCTGGAAAGCCCCAATGCTGTGGATAAATACACATCTCTGCAACAAGTCTATTTCAGGAGAAAGGATCAAATCCCCAAGGGGCTGCTGCTGTTTGAAACAATTGAAGAGCCCAAATCTCAAGCCCCTAAACTCAAACTACTTTGGGTTAAAAGTTATCTATGTGGAAGAACAATGCCTGAACAGAGCTTTTGGAAGTGACATATTAGCGCTATATATATATATATATATATATATATCTCCATATATTTTTGGAATGATGAATCTCATGTTCTCTAGGAGCATCTCTTCCTAAGGAGGTTATCTCCTAGAAACACTAAACATTTATAATATCTGAGCTTGGACTGAGAAAGAGGACCATGAAGTGGTGTCTCTCAGGATAACACCAGAATCTTAGTCTAGTCAAGGATGGGTAACTGGTAAGGCTGATAATATTCAGAACTCAGGAACTGAGGCCAGGGTTGGCGGAGGGGCTGGTTGCCACAAATCCACAGGTCACACTACAAATGGTCAAATAGACCATTAAATACTAACAGGATACTTCAGGTATTCTCAAGTCCTAAGAAGTTTAAAGTGTAACCAAACTCTAAGTCAAATCACTAATGGACACCTATCATATTTATCACCTAATTTAGGTCTTTCAGAAGACTAGAAGCTTTAGAGGTGCTCCCGTAAGCTGCCAATGCCCTTTGCATAAAGAAACACTTAGGTCTGGAACCAATCTATTCCTGTCCAGCACTCTACACATTTAAGATTTTAGTCTACTCAAATCCCCTGGGAAAGACCATTCACCAACTTAACCGACCACAAAGAATACGCTTTTCAAAATGAATGGGAATAAAGGCACTTTTATTTGGAAATTTCAAGTTGGAAGGAGAGCTCTCAGCCAAGCTCTAGGACCTAGCTAGCCGATTATTTACAGGATCTTTGGGCAGGAATTGTTAATGAGCTTTTAATTTGGAGTGCTTAAGTTGCCAAAGTGCTCTGAGCTCCACTGAAGCACCACAGAATCCATAAAGGAAACCTTATCAATCACTTCCCGGCAGCTCCCTTCCCCCACACCCCACCTCTCTGAGGAAAGGCAGCCAAGTGGGTTTTTAACCAAGATCACAGACACACACATTAGTGGAGTCACACTCCAAGTCCCTGTTTATAAATTGGCTTTTAAATGGTAGGGGATTCAGGTATAATATACTTAAGCTCCAGGCACGAACCCACTAAAACAAGGCATGCCATGTATGATAAAGTCAGAATAAAGCAGAATTTGATGAAGCCAATTTCTGGTAGAAACGCTACAATCAAGAATCAATTCAGCCAATCACAACCTACTATAGTTCAAATAGTGTACAGTTTTTAACCAATGGAATTCGTGGTTTTTTGCCCTTCAGCTCAGAGAATGATAAAATGTCTGATAAGAGCTAATACCATAGAGGTGGCCAGAAGCCTATAGCAGAACAATGACGGGCATTATCAACTTGTAAAATCCAACCCTAAGGGCAGAATCCAAACCCTTCCCCCCCACCCCCGGTAAGAGGCCACATTCAGCATCTTCCAAGTCAACCAGGTGCAGTTACATCTTCCTAGAACTCCCCGTCAAACAAACCCCAATCCAAGTTCATGCTTTTTTGCTTTAAGAAAACACCTGTTGCTGGAACATTTGCAGGACAAGCAAACAGAAAGCTAGCTAGGTTAGGCCCCTTATTCACTCCTACCATCACCACTACTACTGCTACAGATGTACAAATAGGTAAAGTGCTAACACCGTGTGTGTGCTGGAGAGGGAAGAACGGGCTTATTCTATCTATACCACCTCTTTACTACTGAGTTTCTATCCTCTGTGGTCAAACCTATTCCTCTTTCCTAGCAATCCCAAGTAAGAAGTCAGCACCCTTAATCACCTCACCCAGTCGGTCTTGCAAAGCCCTGCCCCACTCCCTCTCAGCCCGAACGTTACTCAGTAGATCATGCATCCAGGGTAAGCACATGGGCTAGCACCCCAGGCTGCACAAATTGTGCGCACCGCGACCCTCGCCCCGCATGCATTAACCAGGGCCCAATCTGGGGGGCCTCTCCGCATCACCCACCCCAGGATGTTGCCCCCAACTCGGACCCATCCAAGTCCAGGGTAGAGTAAGGGGAGGGGCAGGGGGCCAGGAGACCAGCCCTCCTTCCCAGGGCCGCCCCCGCCCCCCGTCAGCGGCGGGAGAGGCTGTCGCCATGGCAACGCCCCCTCCTCGGGGCCAGCGCGGCAGGCTCCCTCCAGGTGCAGGCCCCGACGTCTCCCTCGGCCTCAGCAGACGCTGAGGGCAGTTTACGGCGGCAGGCGCGGCCCGCGCCGACTGCGGCGCCGGCCAGGCAGAGGCAAGGCCAGTTCCGCCCGCTCCCCACCGCCCGTTCCCGGCCGCCTCAACAGCGGCAGCCAGCACCACGAGTCCACAACACACCGACTCACCTCCGCGCACTCTGACCCCGGCCGACGCGACTGACGGGCGGGCGCGGTGGCCAACCACTGAGCCCGCCACTTGCTTCTACGACCAATGGACGGCAGGGGGGCGGGGCTTCTTCTCCCCAAATGCTTGCTCTCCCGCCGACATGCGCGCTAAGATCTGTCAAGATGGTGACTCCCCGCGTCCGGCCTTATGGGACTTGTAGTTTTGAGGTTGTACGTACTCAGAAGAGAGTGAAGGGGGAGCTCACTTAAGAGCTGTGAAAGAAATTTTTTAAATAACGAAAACTTTCTAAGGCCTAGAGCGACCCAGGTCCCCCATTTCCGTTTTCCCACCTCCCAAATACACTCATGAGGTGAGTATAGTCTCATAAGATGACGTGTTATTTTTAGATGACTTCTGGTGATTTGTTCATTCAACAAGTCATTATTATCCACACTCCGAGGTGGGCCTGGGGAGAGCTGAGAGGACGGAAAATTTAGGCTAAGAATAAAATTCTTAGATTTGTGAAGGGCCTTCCTACAGAATAGGGAACTGACTTGTTCAGGTTGGTTCCCGTAGAACATCAGAGTTAAAAGAATTCTGGCCTCAATTACAGGGAGCTATCACAGAGAGTCTATTCTGTCATCTGGAGGGAAATCTGGACAAAGCCCGAGATGTGTTTCTCCATCTTGGTTATGGCTCTTTGGGAAGCCCTGGGTAACAGGTTCTGAGGTGGGAAACCTAGGCCTTGGCCAAACCAACAATGGCTTTGACAGCCTCCCAGTCAGCCAGGAACCGTCTTGCTGGACCAGCTTTGGTCACCAAGCACTCTGTCTGCCATTTGCAGATTTTAACTTAAGAAGATGATGTAATATCTGGGCCCTACCACCTTTGTGAAAGGTGACCTTTAACATAATGGTTCCTACCTGAGCTGAGAATGCCTGGTAATACCCATATCAGGGAATGTCTTTCTTAATCCTGCACAATGGATTAAGTGATTGAATTCTGCACCTACGGAATTTATTGCATTGTTTTATAATTGTCTATTTCCTTGTTGTCTCTCTCCCAGGGCTGTAAATTCATTTAAGGTAAGCATTATTTCTATATTGTTCATAGTGTATCAGTAATACCCAGCACAGTTCCAAATGTAAAGCAGGAGTCTGGTAAATGTTTGTGGACAAATGAGGAAATAAACATCAGCAGGGACAGATGTCACTTAACCCAAGGTCAGTAAAGTGGATGCACATCTTCCTAACCTCTGATTCTTGGAGCTGGAATTGGGTCTTCTTCCTCCCATTGATGTCATCTAGACATTAGTCCCGGTTGATTAGTCAGTCAACATATATTTATAGTGCCTCTGCTAAGTGTCAGACCCTGTTTCTGTTGCTAAGGATTCATTGGTGAATAAGATACACAAAACCTGTTTCCTTGAGGAGCGTTTATATTGGGGAGGGGAAAAGAGAGGCAGAACAGACAATAAACAGGTAAGTAAATAGACAAATGAAATTAGACAAATGAGAGGCCCTGAGATGGTCTCTCCTGTCCCTGGCTCTGTTATGTCCTGAGTCTGGTCTAAGAATAGGACACAGCCAGCCTTCTTGGCTGTAAGAATAAAGTAAACCTACTGTCTATAGATTGGAGGCTTCCTTTAAGGCCCATCACCAGTATCCTCCAGGGAGCCTTCCATGGTCCCTTAACTTCTCCAGAATGTGCTCTTTCCTACTGGGTACTCTAGAGCTCACCTCTACAGCTTCCATGACTTCACTAGACTATAAGCTCTTTTTGTACAAAGACCAGGCAAAATGTATTCAAATAAGAGAACAGTTTAAGAGCTAAGTATATACGTGGTGCCTTACACTGCTGCCAACCCAGCATTTGGCTCCCTCAAGCCTTTGGCTCTGTTGTGATTCCCTCTGTTTTATGGTTTCCCAGAAAACAGCCTGAGTAAAGCTTATGTGGTAAAACTTCATTGGGAAATATAAGCCCAGGGCAGCAAGAGTTGAGGAGGCAAAGGGAAGTGAAGCAGAGAAGAAAAGAAAGAAAATATAAGGTTGTATATTATAAAGTTGACCAGAGCTTCAAAAGAAACACAACTAGTTGCTCTCTTATTTAGGCCATACAGAACCATCACTTATCAGGGAGAAAGGGAGGGTTGTGTTACCCCACCACTCCGGTAGCCACCAGGGGCGCCAGATCCCGCACCCTAAAGCACAGTGGTTAAACAGACTAGAAATGGTGAGAGGAGTCATAGCCCCTGGTTTGGCCAAATTAGGCCCACTGCAGTGCCATCACAGTGGGCACCTTGGAGGCTCTATCAAAACCTAAATCTCCCCAAGGAGGCTAAGACAACCAGATGTGTTAGTAAATAAGGTGATAGTAGTGGCAGCGGGGCTGTCCAAAAAAGAAGTGGCCAAAGCCCTGGGGTGGGGGTATAGATGGGGCAAGTGAATTTTTGGAGGCAGATGAACTGAGTCTAACACACAGACGCACATATACCTTGGGCAGCCTCCAGGCTGCTGGAGTAAGCGACTGAGCTAAAGTGAACACTGAGAGCAGGAATTAAAGACACCAAGTTGGTTCTTTTGCTGCCCTTTGAAACTATAAGGGAAAATAGCAAGATGGCCAACAAACATAGGGCCTTATCCAACAATGGAAGGGCAGAGGACCCAAGGACAGTGCATGACAGCCCCAAACTTGGCACAGCTGAAACAGCTGAGACTGGATCTGAAACTATTTTATCTAAGAACTAAGAAAGCTGCTTCTGCTGTTCACAGTCCCTGTAAGCTGCATGAGACAGCATAGTGCAGTTACAAGGAGTGTGAGCTCAGAGAAAACCTGTTCAGGTTTGAGTCCTGGCTCCGTCTGTGGCAAGCCACTACCTCCCTGAGGCTCCATTTCTTCATCTCTAGAGTGGAGATAATACTAGTACCTACTTATTAGAATTAAATACAAACATGCTTAGCATAGCATCCAGTGTAAAGAGTTCAGTAAATATTGGCTGTTATTACTATTATTCTCACCCCTCCTCCAAGCCTCTCTCCAACTCTTCTCTCCGCCATGGCCACCACCAGCCCACCTACTCACTCCCTGCCCCTGTGCCCACAGTCTCTGCTGCAGGAGCTGTGGGAGCTGGACCTGGCCATGCCTCCTTCGCCTGCTTCCCCCAGGGCTGTTCCCCATGAGCCTGAGCCATTCATCTCCCTGGTGACCTGAATCTGAACTAAGAGATGGATGTGGGGTGGCTGAGGCCAGGGTGGTAATGTGCTCCCTTATCTCTATGCCCCTCACTGGGGCCTAGTTAATTTTCCCTTTGATTTTAATATAGATTTATTGAAAGTTTCAGTTATCAAAACAAACTGCAGCAGCAAATTGGTGTTCTTTGCAGGCCTACAAGTGCCTATAAAGCTGCCATGCTCGGGAACGAATGGCGCTCTCCGGGAGGTCAGTCATGGCAACAGGAAGTCCCTGGGGACACACACACTGCAGTTTAATATTTTTCTTATTAGCCTTTTTCTTCTTGGCCATCTAAGCCTCCCCTTTAAATCGGAAATCAAATGGAGCCACCTGCCCAGGAAGGCTCTCTTCCCCAAGCTGTTCCACTCTGCCTTCTCTGGCCTAGCCTCTTCACCTCTCATTCTCTGATTTCTCCCTGCCTTGCCCACTGTTCGTAGAGTGTGGTGAGTCACATGCCCCAGAGGTGTGGCTCACAGTCCCACCCCAACTATGTAAGGTTGCTTGGGCTATGTAGCCACTCTAGTCAGAGGCAAAGCATTAGAAAAGATTGGCCTCTTCTAGATCTGGTACTAGAAAGAAGGAAAAAGACAAGGTTTTAAAGCAAAAGAGTTGTTTGGGGTATGTGGCTGTCAGCGAGAAGAGTACAACTTTTGATCTTGGGGTCATGGGTTCGAGCCCCATGTTGAGTGTAGAGATTACTTAAAGAAATAAAACTTAGAAAGAAAGGAAGGAAGAAAGGGAGAGAGGGAGGGAGGGAGAAAGAAAGGGGGTTTTTTTGGTTTTTGTTTTTTGTTTTGAAAAGGCAGACAATCCTGTCAGGGTTTATCGAACTCAACAGAAGCATAAAAGGAGATGATGATCCTAGAGACTGGGCAGGTTTTCCTTCCAGCCCCAAAATTGTCTGATTTCATTCCCATTTCCCCACTGCCACTCTCAATATGGCCTCTCCTTTCAATCCCAACTTGATTTTTGAGACCCTCCATTCTCTGGTCGCAATGTGCCCCACTAATAACCAGCCTGGTTTCTTGCCTCCAGTGCCTCCTGTAACTAGAACCACACACTGCCACCTCTAGGTTCTGGAATTAGTCCTACCCTAGGGGAGGGCCTCCATGACCTGGTAACCTTAAGGGCACCATCATGTCTTCTGGACCTGAGCTGCTTCTGGGTCACCTGTACAGGCCACATCCCAATTCCCATTGTCCTCTTCTTGCTCTTAAAAATTTCCTGCCAGCAGCAAGAACTACTGCCCTTCCTCAGAACTTGGACTCTGACAACTATTGCTGTGTGGCTAGAGTGGTGGAAGGTGCTAAGGTTTGGATCCAGACAATCCAGGAATTGATTCCTGGCTCTGACGTTTATAGACTCTGTGACTTGGGGAACATCTTCGTGGTGTCTTGCACCTTGTGCTTATGTCTGCCCTTGTCTGCCTCTGTATCTCTTACCTACAATATTCTGTGGTTCTCAAAGAAGAGGACTGTGTTTTAATCATCTTTATATTCCAAGTGTGTATATTTGATGAATAAGCAGTCACCTTATCTTGGCCTGTTTCCTCCACTATGAAGTGGAGATAGTATCTGCATAACCAAAAAAGTGAAGAAAGCATCTACCAAAGTACCCACCCTTCTCCTGATGTTGGTCATCAGCCACCAGTGCTCCTGCCTTTTGCCTGTTCCCATCACAGCTTCAAGTTCAACTCTCTCCTATTGCCTGTTAGAGCTTCCTATCACTGGTCAGATGTGACCCTGGACCCTTTGGAGTGGTACTGATGT